ACTCAAACACACACACACACACACACACTCAAACACACACACACACTCACACACACACTTAAGCTTATTTACCAAGTATGTTTACACAAACAAGGAATTTGACTTGGCGACAGTGCAGAAGAAAATATGGACATAGTACAGACATACACAGGAATTACACAGTAGAGATGGAATATAACACTAATATAAGAAAAACTGAAAATTAAATCGCTCACTATATAAAGAAATAAATAAATTACGAGATACAAACTCAGAATTGCGAGATATAAACTCAATTATGAGATATAAACTCAAATGTGAGATATGAACTCAGAATTTTGAGATATAAATTCAGAGTTGAGAAATACAAAGTTTGAATTGTGAGAGAAATGTCACTTTTTTTTTTTTCCTTTTTTTATTCAGTGTTGGAAACAAGCTTCGATACAAAACAATATGACTTCCTATAGAGCTGCGTTGAAACGATGCATATTCTGAAAAGCGCTTTACAAATAAATTTAATTTGATTTGACTGTTTCTAATGAATCTGTAGGCAGTAAATTCTGTTTAAAATTCAATTAGCAATGAACTAGTGTTTTATTGTGAAGGCAGTGAGTGATTTTTTGACATCATTCACACACGCAGTACTACCTCGACGCTCCCTCCGGCGATCTGAAGTCCTTCTGCGCCACTCTATTATCACAAGAAAGAATAAAAATATGCTGAATTACGGCGGTCCGCAGTCACCAATCACAGATCACAATCTCAACTATTACAAACATCCCGAGTGGACGGCGCAATGATTTCCAACCTCCACGGCCGAAACGCTGCGGCCCCAGTGTTTTTCTATAATATCAGGTTACTAGGAACAGCTAACCAAAATAACATATTTCATATCGACTAACATTGACCTTGGACACGAAGCAGATTTAGCTGTGGAGCGCAAGCGTGTGTTAGGAGAGTCCTGAAGGACGACGGGAGGCTACACGCCACAGTTACACCAAAACCGCTCTGAAACCAACAGCAGCATGAATGCAAAAACAATAAAGAGCCACACAGATCCACAGAGCTTCAGACAGGACCGGGACTTTCTCTGAGATGCTTTAAAGTACCATATAAACATCACTTACAGTAGTAGCCCACTACAGTGCACACCAAATCACCAGTGTATTTCAGCACAAAAACAAACAAACCTCCCACAGCAGGTTTAGTGCTGCTCCACACAGATCGAGTCAGTATTTTCTATGAGCTCTGTCGAGTTATATACAACGATAAAATCACTTAAGAACAAGTTTCTTATTTGTAATGAGACCAACAACCTCCTGGAGACCTTACATGCAATATATACCAAAATACAGAGTATAAAGAGTATCTGCATTCTTCTAATATGCTGATTTGCTGCTCAAGAAACATTTCTGATTATTATCAATGTTGAAAACAGCTGTGCTGCCCAATATTTTTGTGGAAACTGTGATACATTTGATTTTTCAGGATTCACAGATGAATAGAAAGTTCAAAAGAACAGCGTTTATCTGAAATAGAAATCTTTATAACATTATAAATGCCTTTACTGTCACTTTTGAT